CTGCCTCAGCTCAGCTCAACTCATTCATTCCATGCTTGCCCCGAATGTCCACTGCAAGCTAGGGAGGCACTGTATCAGTGCTGGAAGCCAATGGTGAGTCCAGGAAATGCTTCCCTCCCTTTTCGAGCTACCCTCTTGGCCAGGAGGGTAGGAAAGCTTGCTGTAGGGTCAAATTCTGGGAGAAATCAAACTCTTATTAAAGTCCAGCATGCAAAAAAGCTGACGTGTGCAAATACCCCTGTGGAGCGCTCCTCCTGGAAGGTCTGGAAAGAGCTGAATGGATTTCAACGAAATTTTTGTAGAACAAGAAAATTAGAAGTAGCCTAGGAGCCCTTTGGTGCTGACAGAAAAAGGCCAAGGGGAGTGGGTAGGGGCAGGCCACAGAACAGCAATTACTACAAGCAGAGCAGGCTTCCCACATTAATAAATCTGGGTGACTGAGTGCGGCGGCACACACCTATAATCCCAGCACTTTGGAAGGCCGAGGTGGGAGGATCGCTGGAGCCCAGGAGTTCGAGACCAGCCTGGGCAACATGGTGAAACCCTGTCTCTACAACAAACAAACAAAACAAAATTAGCCAGGTGTGGTGGCATGCGCCAGGAGGCTGAGGTGGGGAGGATCCCTTGAGCCCAGGAGGTCGAGGCTGCAGTGAGCTGTGTTTGTGTCACTGTACTCCAGCCTGGATGGAAGAGTGAGATCTTGTCTCAAAAAATAAATAAAAACAAAATAAATAAATCTTGGTGCCTGTAGTAGGTGTGAGTGCAGGTGGGATCTCCCTTCTAGCCCAGCCCAGAACAGCTGAACTCCCTGACCAGAGGGTTTCGTTATCCATGTTCTTGCAGCTCTGGTTTTGTCAATACAAAACCTGCCAGCAGCTTCTGCATGGTGAAATCTGGGCCCAAAGAGAGCCCTGATTCCTGGGCTCCCCTGAAGAGTCTGACAGCAGAATAGTGGTATGAGTGCCTCAGAGCAAGGTTCCTTGCCCTAGGAGGGACAAGGCTGGACACTGACACCCATCCATCAAGTGTTCATATCCTCTGACCCACACCTCCCCTGCCCTGACTGATTTCTGAAAGGGGTATGGTGTGTGGAACAGCTGAGGGTGCAGAGTCTAGGCAGAGCATGCAGGGACGCAGGCAGGCAGAAGCAGCCACCTGCCCGGTCTCACTCTGCCTGCTGTTCCCGCTGACCACAGCCTCAGCTTAGCTGGGGCCATCCTCTACCACCCACTCTACTTTACAGGAGGAGGGGATAGTGGGGCAAGGAACCAGGTCCTGCCTCCTAAAACCAGGGAAAAGAGCTCCTTCCCTCTGCGCCACCCTCTGCCCCATCCCCCAAAAAGAATGAAAGGAACTTATAATTGACTAAAAGCCAGAAATGGGCTGCATGCTAACCAAGAAAACAGTAGAGAATTCTCTGGGAGGTGAAACACCAGCAGATATACTTCTGAAGGTGGCAGCTCCTGCTCCCAGAGCCCCAGCACGTCATCTTCAGCCCCAGTATCCTGCCCTCCCCACTCATCCAGCCTCAGTTCTCCACATGCACCAGACATGCCATGAATACAAATTAGTGGTCCTTTATGCAGTAACATGTCTTTGAACTTGGTGCCATTGCATGTGCTGAGACATGTCTCCAGGAACGTTTCCCCACCACCCTACTTCACCTGACTCCTACTCATGCTTGAAGACTAGGCTCAGGGTCACCTCCTCCAGGAGTCTCCCCTAAGCCTCATAGGCTGGGCACAGCCCCTCCTCCTCTGTGCTCCGGAGGTCCTCATCACATCAAAACAATGATCAGTTTAGGCATCCATCTCCCTCTCTAGGCTGCGAGCTCCCCATGGAAGGACAGAGAGGCCTATTTGTCTTCACAGCCCAAGTGGCTGATACATAGTAAAAGCTCAGTGAAATCAAATCAGAAGGGGCTGCCTAGCTGGGCGCAGTGCTTCATGCCTGTAATTCCAGCACTTTGGGAGGCCAAGAAGGGACGCTTGCTTGAAGCTAGGAGTTCAAGACCAGCCAGGGCAATACGGTGAGACCCTGTCTCTAAAAAAAAAAAAAAGATAAAAAAAAAAAAATAGCCGGGCATGGTGGCGCACACCTGTAGTCCCAGCTAGTCAGTAGGCTGAGGCAGGAAGATCGCTTGAGCCTAGGAGTTCAGAACTGCAGTGAGCCAAGATGGTGCCACTGTACTCCAGCCTGAGCAACAAAGTGAGACTATCTTTCTTTATTTATTCATATTTGAGAGAGGGTCTTGCTCTGTCTCCAGGCTGGAGTGCAGTGGCACATCACAGCTCACTGCAGTCGCCACCTTCCAGGCTCAAGCAACCTTTCTGCCTCAAGCCTCCAGAGTAGCTGCGACTACAGATGTGTGCCACCATGCTCAGCTAATGTTTCGTATATTTAGTAGAGACAGGGTTTTGCTGTGTTGCCCAGGCTGGTCTTGAACTCCAGGACTCAAGGGATCCTCCTGCCTTGGCCTCTGGGAGTAGTGCTGGGACTACAGGTGTGAGCTACCGTGCCCAACTGAAGTTCTGTCTTTATTTATTTTATTTTTATTATTATTTTTGAGACAGAGTCTTGCTTTGTTGCCCAGGCTGGGTTGCAGTGGTGTGATCTTGGCTCATTGCAACCTCTGCCTCCCAGGTTCAAGTGATTCTCCTGCCTCGGCCACCTCAGTAGCTGGGATTACAGGTGTCCACCACCATGCCTGACTAATTTTTGTATTTTTAGTAGACACAGGTTTCACCATGTTGGCCAGCTGGTCTTGAACTCCTGATCTCAGGTGATCTGCCCACCTCAGCCTCCCAAAGTGCTAGGATTACAGGCGTGAGCCACCACACCCTGCTGAGACTCTGTCTTTAAATTTAAAAAAAAAAAAGGCCTGGGTGTGGTGGCTCACACCTGTAACTCCAGCACTTTGGGAGGCCAAGGTGGGAGGATCTCTTGATCCCAGGAGTTCAAGGGCATGGGCAACACAGTGAGACCCCATGCCAAAAACAAAACAAAACAAACAACACTCTCTTCCATTGAGTGCTATTTGTATATACATATATACATACTACAAACATACATAAGGGGCTGGCCGGGTGCGGTGGCTCCCGCCTGTAAGCCCAGCACTTTGGGAGGCTGAGGTAGGCGTATCACTTGAGGTCAGGAGTTCCAGACCAGCCTGGCCAACATGGCGAAACCCCGTTTCCACTAAAAAATACAAAAATTAGTTGGGAGTGATGGCGGGCACCTGTAATCCCAGCTACTCGGGAGGCTGAGGCAGAGAGAAGCACTTGAACCTGAGAGGCAGAAGTTGCAGTAAGCTGAGATTGCACCACTGCACTCTCAAAAAATAAAAAAAGAGGCTAGGCACGGTGGCTCAGGCCTTTAATCCCAGCACTCTGGGAGGCCTAGGCGGGCAGATCACAAGGTCAGGAGTTCGAGACCAGCCCGGACAACATGGTGAAACCCTGTCTCTACTAAAAATACAGAAATTAGCTGGGCATGGTGGCACACGCCTGTAATCCCAGCTACTTGGGAGGCTGAGGCATGAGAATTGCTTGAACTTGGGAAGCAGAGGTTGCAGCGAGCTGAGATCGCAGAAGCTGCAGTGAGCCGAGATCACGCCATTGTACTCCAGCTTAGGTGACAGAGTTCGACTCTGTCTCAAGAAAAATATAAATAAATAAAAATAAAAAGAAGGGGCTGCCTAAGAGTATGGCCCCCCTCTCCAAACCCCTCCCGCTGTCAGGGTTTACTGGGAGCTCTGAGAGGTCTGCCTCCTACTGAGAGAGAGGGCTGGCCTGCTGGCTCCATTGGAGAAGCCTGTGCTGGTTCCCTCTTGCCTGGCCCTCAGGCTTCCTGGAATAGGCCTAATGGACTCCGGAGCAGCTCAAAGTGCACAGAAACCTGCAAAAAGGGCCTGAAGATGGCAGAAGGAGCCTTCCACCACCTCCTCCTAGAGGCTCACAGCCAAGGTTGGCTGCTTCAGCCAGCACCACCTAAAGGTCATGGCCCCAGTGAGGGGCGTCCACCTAGCACAGATGCATGAGGTGGGCTGTGCTACAGACCAAAGAGGGACTTCACTTTGAAAATTCTCAGTTCATGGCATCGAGAGCGACCATGCAAGACCCTGGTTCATGGCATCAAGAGTGACCATGCAAGACCCTGAGGGGCACTGCGGTGTAGAAAGCCGTTCCCTGGGGTGACAGGTATGTTTGTTATTCTTTGCCTGACATGCACCATGGCTTTTCCTCCCATGGTCTCTTCTGGGCAAATGGCTCAACACAGACTTAGAAAATGTGTCTGTTTGGAGGCTGCTTTGTTTGGAGCTACGACCAGCAAGGGGGCTGGGGGTAGGGGGTGAGGACAGCAACTGAGTGAGAACAGCCTGTTTAACACAGCTGCTGACGGACTCCTAAGTGGCTCGAGCTCTGCTGCTGGGAAGTGCTAATTGGTTTTTAAAAGTGTGAGGCTGGCACAGACAGTCAGGGCCGAGTGTGGCAGAGCCACACCTGAAATAGGTGAGAGGAAGGGGCTGATGTTATGCCAGGCTGCAGTCAAAATGGCAATGAGCCCCAGGTGTGACAGCAGTGTGAGAGGTCCTCCCATGGGGCAGTCCCAAATCTGCCATACTGGTAGGGGGATGACAAGCTAGGCTGTGGTTTGGCCCCAGAAGCTAAGGCCTGGGGTGCACTTCTCTGGAATGGCAGCTTGCAGGAGCGAGTCTCCCTTTAGCCCTTTCAATCCAGGCTTTCTGTGCTCTCTCTTTGGAAAAAGAGCCTGGGTCCTCACATTTTAGAGGAGAGGGAGTCAGCATACTTGGTGGGAGCTGAGGCGAGCTGCAAGAGTGACCCAGCTCAGAGAAACCATGTCACTGTTGAGGAGGCTCTTAATGCCACCAGGTGGGCATCACCCAGACATGGGAGGGGGTATGCATCCTGAGTGGGAAGTGGCACTCACACGGTCTTAGGGTCCCTCTCCCACCCACTCCAGCACCACATGGCTCCTACCTTCACCAGGACCTGAGGCGGCTGTCCCTGGCTCCGGCACCTCCCTCTCAGTCTGTGTTTCGGCATTCTGCAGCTGAAGGGCCAGAGTCTGGGTGCCCTGAGATGTCACTGAGGTGGTAGGGTTCCGGGGCTGCAGCCCAATGGCATTCATCAGCCCCATGTCTCTGTCTGTCCTCCATGTGGCTCTGCTGGTTCTAGGGAGAGAAAGACAGACTGAAGTCAGGTGCGGCTTGGGACAGCGCCCCGCACAGCACTCTGCTGGCTCTGTGCCAATCCTCAGGGCAGTGTGGGCCAGGCCCTGCTGGCTAAGAGAAGCCCTGCTGGCTAAGAGAAGCCCTGTGCTCCTGCAACTGCCTCTTGATGGTGGTTAACTTGTCTGTGTCCATTCTCTCCCAAGGTTAGTCTATACCCTGGGACAATGAAAGGCCACAGAAACATCCAGTCTTGTGCAACCCTGGCTCAGTCATGCCCTTCAACAACAGGCCCCTGTCAGGGAGTGGGGAGGAGCTGTAGAGATGGCTGATACGAAAAGACACTAATGAAATTCAGGAGGCCAGCAGCTGAGATCATGGGATAAAGAGTGAGCACTGGAAGAAGGTCCTTTCTCTCTTTAGTTTTACCTTCCTTCCAACTGTATGCTCGTAAGATTCCACTTTGAATTCTTGAATTTCCAAGTGAACTGAGAGCTCCACTTTGGAGGGAAAGAACTGGAACTCTTTTTTTTTTTTTGGTGAGACAGTCTCACCCTGTCACCCAGGTTGGAGCGCAGTGGCACAATCTCAGCTCACTGCAACCTCCGCCTCCCGGGTTCAGGCGACTCTCCTGCCTCAGCCTCCCGAGTAGCTGGGATTATAGGCACACAAAACCATGCTCGGCTAATTTTTTGTATTTTTAGTAGAGAGGGATTTCACCATGTTGGCCAGGATGGTCTCGATCTCCTGACCTCGTGATCTGCCTGCCTCAGCCTCCCAAAGTGCTGGGATTGATTACAGGCGTGAGCTACCGCGCCCATCCAGGACTGGAACTCCTGAACAGGCTGCTCTGGAATCCTCCTTCCAGGGCCTTCTGAAAACAGACCCTTGCAGGTAGGGAGCACAGGCTGTCCTACAAGGAAGGTTCCAGCCAATGTTAGCATCCACCTTCCTTGGGCATGTCCCAGGCACTGCCTTGGAACAGCTGGAGCTGGCAGCAGAGGCAGCCCAGGGCTTTTGAGACTACCACCAGACACTCATATTTCTAGCTGCTTCTGGGACTATTCCTCCAGCTATGCTCAGCAATTCCTAGGGGAAGTAGCAATTGCTTTGGGTTCATCAACAACCCAGCACTTTGTTCCAGTCTTCATTAGTGAATTAAGTGATGAAAGGATCAGTACCAGATTTCTAATGGGTGCCTCAAGAGGATTTGTCCCTGGGCTACAGCCCTGGGCAGCTTGGTCCCTGAGGTCCTAGTCATCTGGAAGAGCCTGGGCCATGGAGCAGACTTCATGGGGCAGCATCCTTCTTCAGGCCCTATCTTCTCTCCTCACCCCAAGTGTGCCCAGGCACCATGGCCAGGATGGGAGAGGGTGAGGGGGTGGTTCTACAGTAAGACTCTGAGAGCAGAGCTTTTGTTCTCTTTCTTAGCCATACAACACTTTTCTCAAATGAAACTGTACACAAAAGATCAAGGAGGCGCTGCTTTGGTTGAGGAGGGACCCAGAGCCCTAGAGGATGCTGAAGGCACTGCTTAAGAGCTCATCAAAAGCAGGAGGAAGGGACGGGCCTCCAGCCAGCTGCTCCCTGCCTACTTCCCAAACATACCCAGGCCGCTCGCTGCTCCTGCTGTTGGAATGGACAGTGAAGACCGTCTCGTTCAGCTGGTCCCAGTAGTACTCAACACCAGAGTTTAAGGCCCTAAAAATCGGTTGGGAAGGGTGTAGAAGAAGGTGAAAGGCATTAGAGAGGGAAGGATAAGAGCTCCTAAAACTCCTGGCTTTGTGGACTGTGGCTGCCCATCCTTTCTCTCTCCTGGGGCTGAGCTGAGACCAAGACCAGAGCTGCGGCTTCATCAGGATGCTCAGTGCTGGGGCAATTCAGACAAATCTCTAATAGCCTAAATGCCTGGAATGGTGGGTTTAGCTTCTCCCTTCCCCCTGACTAGCCTAACTGGCTCCTCCTTGGAGCTAAGAGACAGCTAAAAAATGACAACAACAGATACAGGCAGTGGGTCCTGAGTATTCTTCAGACACAGAGAAAGGAACTAAGATGGCAAATGTGAGGCCCACTGGAGAGATATAGTGCTATGGACAGCCCTGCCCAACAGGCATGCCTAGTCTTGAAAAGCAGAGACCTTGGCTGGGCGCTGGTGGCTCACACCTATAATCCCAGCACTTTGGGAGGCCGAGGCGGGCAGATCATGAGGTCAAGAGATCAAGACCATCCTGGCCAACACTGTGAAACTCCATCTCTACTAAAAATATAAAAATTAGCTGGGCGTGGTGGCACATGCCTATAGTATCAGCTACTCAGGAGGCTGAGGCAGGAGAATCGCTTGAACCGGGAGACAGAGGTTGCAGTGAGCTGAGATTGTGCCACTGTACTCCAGCCTGGGCGACAATGTGAGACTCTGTCTCAAAAAAAAAAAAAAAAAAAAAAAAAGCAGAGGCCTCAGGAACAAAGACAGTGCAGGCTCTCGCCCCTGGGGTAGCCTGAGCTATTTAACCTAGAGGCCTAGATCACTCTCCTTTAACAACAGAACTTACCTCCATAAAGAGCAAACATCCCCAACTGAGTGGATTATAGGATGCTGGGAGGTGCTTTCTTCCTAAACACGGGTGTTGGCTAGGACAGAGACCAGGTAGGGCCTAGATGATGAGGGACTGTATTCTAGGAGGTCCCAGGAGGCTGTACTGCCTCAGGTAAAAGGCAACAAAACCAGACACTGAGCCTCCAAATCTGCCTTTTTTTCTGAGATGGAGTCTCACTCTGATGCCCAGGCTGGAGTGCAATGGCGTGATCTCAGCTCATTGCAACCTCTGCCTCCTGGATTCAAGCGGTTCTCCTGCCTCAGCCTCCCAAGCAGCTGAGATTACAGGTGTGTGCCACTACGCCCCGCTAATTTTTATATTTTTAGTAGAGATGGGGTTTCACCATGTTGGCCAGGCTGGTGTCGAACTCCTGACCTCAAGTGATCTGCCCACCTTGGCCTCCCAAAGTGCTAGGATTACAGGCATGAGCAACTATGCCCAGCCCAAATTGGTCTTTTTAAAATTTTTTCAATTTTTAAAAAATTTTTTCAGATGGGGTCTCACTATGTTGCCCAGTCTTGTCTTGAACGCCTGGGCTCAAATGATCTTCCCACCTCGGCCTCCCAAAGTGCTGGGATTATAGGCGTGAGCCACCACGCCCGGCCCAAATCTGTCTTTAGTGGGTAACTATGATTAGGCTTCACCTGCGAGAATACTACTTGCTTCTTTAAAGGGAAAGAGCCACAGCCAAACAAAAGTACTCTTCTTTTCACTGCCCTGTAGTAAACCTCTCCCAAGCTCCAGGGGCCTGTCAGGCTGTGGAGTTGGTGTAATTCCAAAGGCCACCTCTTTAAAAAGCAGTACAGTTGTCTGTTGGTATCTTTGGGGAATTGGTTCCAAGACCCCCTGTGGATACCAAAATCTATGGATGCTCAAGTCCCTACTACACAACCTATCCATATCCTTTTGTACACTTAAAATCATCTCTAGATTACTTGCACTAATACAATGTAAATTATGCAGATAGTTATTATACTGTATTGTTTATTTGTATTCTTTTTGTTTTTGAGACAGGGTCTCACTCTGTTGCCCAGTCTGAAGTGCAGTGGTGTTGCACTACACTGAAGTATAGTGGCTCACTATAGCCCTAACTTCCCTTGGCTCAGGTGATTCTCCTACCTCAGCCTCCCGAGTAGCTGGTATTACAGGCGTGCCTCACCACGACTGGCTAAGTTTTTTTTTATTTTTTGTTTTGTAGAGACAGGGTTTCACCATGTTGCCCAGGCTGGTCTCAAATTTCTGGGCTAAAAAATCTGCCTACCTCAGCCTCCCAAAGTACTGGGATTATAGGTGTGAGCCACCGTTCCCAGCCTAATTATACTGTTAATTTTCACTTTTTTTTTTTTTTTCCAAAAATATTTTTGATTTATGGTGTGTTGAATCCATGAATGTGGAACCTGCAGTTACCAAGGGCCAACTGTTTATCCTTCCTCTTCTAAACAGCCATTTTTGTGGGGTTTGGGATTGTCTGAGAACCAGATGAGCATTGGAGGGCAAAGGTGAGAAAAGGCTACCTTACATTATGGAAGAGGTAAATGGCCAGAAGTAACAGAAGAGGCCTCCAAAAACAAACTCATCACTGTTTTTGGTGAGCAAATCCTGTCTGTATTAGATACTATGCGAAGCTGGCTGCCAGGAAGACTGATTTACAAACTTGTCAAGATGTACTGACAGGTTGCAATACCACATGGGTCCCCACCAAATCCCTCTTCTGAAATTCTTGCTAGCCAGGGCTGGTTAGTGACAAAAAACTGTTCACATCAGACCTACAACAAACCACGTACTTCCTGACCCGGAACGTTCCTTCCCATCTCAGAAAAGAGGCCACAAGAAGGCCTGCGGTCTGAGCTGAGACTGTCAGCATAATGCTGGTGGCCAAAAGGTCCCCTCGAATGCTTTCCATCCAGGCAGCAGCACGGAGCATCCTCGGCTCAGGGCTGTGACCTTGGCTATTGATTAAAGAGGTCCACTGCCAACAGAACAGGGGCCATACTTCCTGTCTCAGATGTGTTGCTCCACTATGCCTCCCATCCCAATCCTTTCTGCTCCCCACACACAGGTCTAATTCTAAGCCAGGATTTGCTTTACTTTCTGTGGTCAGAGAGCTGGACTACAATAGCTCACGGATTTGGTTTCAATTCTAGGCACTGTACCAAGGATACAGTTGGAGACGCCCTCTCTGGCTACTGAAACTCTTAGCTTGCTTTTTTTTTTTTTTTCTAAGATGGAGTTTCACTCTTGTTGCCCAGGCTGGAGTGCAATGGTATGATCTTGGCTCACCGCAACCTCTGCCTCCCGAGTTCGAGCGATTCTCCTGCCTCAGCCTCCGGAGTAGCTGGGATTACAGGCATCCGCCACCATGCCTGGCTAATTTTTGTATTTTTAGTAGAGATGGGGTTTCACCATGTTGGCCAGGCTGATCTCGAACTCCCGACCTCAGGTGATCCGCCCACCTCGGCCTCCCAAAATGCCAGGATTACAGGCGTGAGCCACCGTGCCCAGCCTGAAACTCTTAGCTTTCAATACCCACTGTCACTGACTGTGAGCTAAAGAATGATCCCAACATGTCCTGTTGTCTTCTCGGGTCTCAGTGAGGGTGAATGAGTCACTGTTTGCTCTGGGTTCTTCCTGGGAGCTAGACAAACACACGAAGGGAGGAGGAAGGCTGGGAAGTCCAATCAGGGCCAGCCTTTCCAGCGCGCTTCCACCTCACACCTGGCTTCCTCCACAGCATCTGAAAGCTGTGCTTCTGGGCCTGGCTCAACCACTTCCTCATGCTGAGACCTTCCAGGGCTCCCTGAACAGACCTGAGCTCTCTCAGTGGTCACGATGCTCTCTCCACAGAACTTCCCAACTTCTAGGGACCATTCCCTTCAATAACATTCTTCTTTCATCTATCAGTGACATGGCTGCAGAGGATCAGACTAAAGATGCCTGGTGTCTCTGCAGCGTGGGAAAGAGCCACACCTGGCTCTTAGAGCCTTGCCTGAAAGATGTGGTTTCCACAGCAATTTTGGCTCCCTTTTGATTCGGAGGCATGCTTTCCCCTCCCTGGGTGATGATACTTGACTCTAATTACCATGATTACAGAAGGCACAGAGCTGGGGCCTTGTCAGGAGCCCCATAGTTGGCCAACAGGCCAGATGCCCCATAGTCTCAGCCCACCTCTCTTCCACCCTGAGTTCCCTGATTCTGTCCTTTAAGCTGACTCTGAGAAGCAGTGGACCTTCTGCCAGCACCTCCCCCTGCCCCATTTGTAGGGCTGGTTTATGAGGCCGGAAGTAAGCAAGCACCCCCTCATATCAACCTGGCACTTCACACCCCCCATGGTTATCAGTGGGGGTGCTGGCTGGCTGGCAGGCAGCCAGAGGCACAGCAGCAGCTTGGACAGAGTGCGGGTAGGGAAGCAGAGGAGGAGGGAGCGCCTCACTGCTAGGAAGGGCGGGGTGACTGCGTTATCAGCCCCTGGGATGGCTTTGTAGAGGGGCTGACTGGCCAGTTGTTTGTCTTCTTGCCTGTCCTAAGAATTCCTTCTTTTGGAGAGACGAGGATTTTTGAAGGCCTTAGTCTACTGCCAAGTGGGGTTTTAGTACCACCAAGAGATGCCCAAGGAACCTGTTCCTCTGTCTTTGTCCTTGGAGAGAGTGCTGAGGCAAAGACAATGGAGGAGAAATCAAGAGCAGTATTGAGAGCACAAAATGGGGTGCAGCTGCCTGTGCCTGGGACAAAGGCAGTCAGCCACCTGTTTCGGAGGGAGGGCTGCAATCTTGGCCCAGCTGGCTGGCTGGATCCCGTGCCCTTGGGAATGGGTGTGCCAGGGAGCTGTATCACCCAGGGATAGGCAGCTGCCTATGAGAAACACAAGAACCCTGAGCTCCTACTTCCCTATTTGTTCTCCTCATTTGAGATGGGAGACGACTCATCAGTAGACTGCTTAAAAGACGTGAACGTGCTCACTGATCCCCTCATTCCCCTGCATCCATGCTGACCTGCTGAAATGTCTCAACACGATCTAAAGCTGCATTCTTTACCTGAGGTCTTAAAGAGTTACAAAAGTATGTGTGTGTTCTTGTGGCATATTTTTCTGTGGAAGACAGTACATTGCTTGCGTCAGAATTTTAAAGGGGTTTTTGAGTGAAAAGGGCTCTGGATAGGAAAGGGAGGAATTCTAGTTCTGTCATCAATCTGTTAGGAGGCCTCAGAGGAGTTTTAACTTCCCTAGGTGTCTATTGCTCACACACAGTCTTCCTTGCCTAAGCTTGGAAGAACTTCAGTCATGTCCATATCTAGTTTATACGGTACCCTTACATTTTGGGCCCTAAGGCTTGAGGCATTTGCCAACCTGACCCAAGAAGTCAGGACAAACAGTACCCCAAAAAAATGGGCTAAACTAGTTTTCTCTTAGTCCAACACAACTTGGTCTGTGACGGGACACTGTTCAATGTGTCCAATCCTAATGCTATGTTACTCAGGGAAGAGGCTTGAGTTCCTGGTGGGTAAGAGAGTTCCCCAGGCACCCCAAGATGGCTTAGGTCAGCTGAGACTCCGGGATGCTGGAGACAACACATGGGGAGAAAAGAGAAAACAGAAGCCAAAGTCAGCTTTGTGTTTGGCTGAGGTGACTATGACTGACACAAAGTAGGTAGGCTGGGGTTTCAGACATAAAAACCTCTGTGAGGCCACAACAAACTGGGTGTAGATTATTTTTGCAAGGGAGAGGACCAGAAATTTGGCTGGGACAAAAGTTAGTGGTGGAAGCCATAGACAAAACAACACTCCTGAGGAAAGAGGTCTCGGAGAAACAGGGAAAGAAAGACTTGTAACTGAGGTGTAAGTAAGAGTAGAATCACAGTCCAGAATTCTGTGCCAGTTTTGGAAAAGATGCTTATTAGATTCCTCTTATGAACTGTTAAGAAAAGAGGTAAGACAATCAGTGTCATGTGCTTTGGGGAAAAGGAATATTTCAGGACAGATCCTGGGACTATGGACAGGCCAGAGAAAGGGCAGAAACTGAGAGACCCAAGAAGATAATGAAAATGCTCTCTGGACGCTTTGGACATGGTGAAAGATGTTCTCTGGAGCAAGTGGCTTGCAACACAAAACATTCTTGCAGCTCCAAGCGCAGCCTGACCAGGCTAGGCTTAGACAGTAGTCTGTCTTTGGGAGGGACTCAAAAAATTCAAAATGGAATGCAAGAGCTGCTCTAAGAACCAGGTTTCCTTTCTCGTGGGCCACTGAGCTAACTCAGCCGGTAAAGACCCAATCAGCAGTTCCCTACTAGGCCACAGAAGCTGACCCAAGTACATCCTTTAGGAGAAACTATCAAGAGTCCCATCAAAAGGCAACACGGACACTTCCCACTTCTGATAACCAGAGACCCTGCTGGAACTGTCACACCACACTCTGGGATCTGCAGAACACTCTGGGAAAAGACTCTGCACCAGGTGGAGGTCAACATGAGGACAGCCTGGAGGCAGAAGTGGCATTTAGTCGACTGGAACCTTGCAGTGTCCCACGCAGCAATCAGCCTGATCTGCAGTGAAGCAGAGCTTCACACTCTCCACCTGGCTGGGGCTGGAAACTGATGACAGACCCGGCTGACTCCCAGGGTCTCTAGTGAATGAATGCCTGGAGAAACCCTGACCTCCATAAAGCCAGAGGAAGGGGAAGGGGTGTCATCAGGACTTCAGACACAAATCCCCTCCTACTCCCTACTTCAAGACCAGATAATAATTGCTTTGACTATAAATTGAGCTTTTCTTTTCTTTTTCTTTCTTCCTTTTTTTTTTTTTGAGACGGAATCTCACTCTGTCGCTAGGTTGGAGTGCAATGGCATGATCTCGGCTCACTGCAACCTCTGCCTCCCAGGTTCAAGCGATTCCCCTGCCTCAGCCTCCCGAGTAGCTGGGACTTACAGGCACATGCCACCACGCCCGGCTAACTTTGTATTTTAGTAGAGGCGGGGTTTTACCATGTTGACCAGATGGTCTCAATCTCCTGAGCTCGTGATGTGCCTGCCTCAGCCTATCAAAGTGCTGGGATTACAGGTGTGAGCCACGGTGCCCAGCCCCAAATTGAGCTTTTCAATCTGCTTTCACTAGTATAAGCTAGACCTCCAAGCAGAAAGGAAAACAGGCAAGACAGAATCCGGCTATTAGAGATCAGTGGCTTAACCATTTAGGGTTTCAACAATACCTATTTCCAATTCTTTTTAAGTTAGAGTCTATGGCATTTACTCAAATCCAAGACCAACTGTTGAATTTTTCTAATAGGGTTTAAAAAAGCATCTTTGATATCTATGCTTTTGACTGCAGAGAAACTTTAGTATCACTAGGAAACCAGAGAACAAGGGAAAACAAAGACAAAAAACTACTCCCTTTAGATTCAAGAAAACACGATCACTAAATCAGTCTCTGGATGAAATGTGAAATGGGGAGCTAATCCTACCAGCCCCTGTGGGAAGAGGGCCCTTTAAGGAGTGGCGCTGAGAATGAGGCAGGCTCTAGATGGATTGACATTTCCTATCTAAAAGACCCCAGTTGGTGAATACTGATTACCCCAGTCCTCAGCCCCAATGATCCCTCAACTCCCACACTTTAAGCCACTTACTCTGGTCGGCAGATCACCAAGTCTCCTTTGTTAGTACCATAGGCCAGGCCAAGCCCTGGCTCAGGCAGCCAACGGGCAGAGTTGATACTGACATGTCTCCGCTGGTCGGCAGGCATTGGGTAAAGGACGTTGAAAACTCTCTAGGTAGAGGAAAAGAGGGAAAAAAGAGAATGGCAGGAGAAACAATTTGTTACCAAGAATAACAAAATCCAGGGAGAAACAAATTACAGGGAGGAAAGGAGGTGGTGAGGCTGGGAACAGGAAGCCTCTTTTTTTTTTTTTTCTATATATATATATTTTTTATTATTATACTTTAAGTTCTAGGGTACATGTGCACAATGTGCAGGTTTGTTACATATGTATACATGTGCCATGTTGGTGTGCTGCACCTATTAACTCGTCATTTACGTTAGGTATATCTCCTAATGCTATCGCTTCCCCGTTCCCCTACCCCACGACAGGCCCCAGTGTGTGATGTTCCCCTTCCTGTGTCCAAGTGATCTCATTGTTCAATTCCCACCTATGAGTGAGAATATGCGGTGTTTGGTTTTCGAACAGGATGACTCTTAACTCATGCCTGAGAACTTGGGGCAGCAGGAGAGATGGGATTCTCTCATTTGTGGGAAGAGCTAGGTCTCTTTTAAGAAATACTAGGGGACTCTATGGCTCTAATAATGCGTTCTCCTTCGAGCCTTCTAGCTAACTTTGTTGCTTTTAAATTAAGTCCCTGGAAAACCCCATAGAGCCCACCATACCAGGACGGACTGCCCATAACTTTCCTCTGACCAGGCCAACCAGTGAGCATCAGCCTTGGCTGGTAGTCCTGTTACCATGGAAATCACAGTGCTCTCACAGCAATGGGGAATTGGAGGTGATAGGGGGGCGGGAGGGAGTGATAACATCAGAGAACATTCTTAATTCATCTAATTAAAAGCAATGTTAAAACTGTTATTGTTAAGGATTCCTAAAAGGTGCATTAAGATGGAGGGAGCGCAGCAGAGGGGAATCGTGAACATTCGGGCACACAACTTGTTTCTAGCTTATATAAATCACCGTTAAATTGATTATTTCTCTTTTTCCAAGCTAATATTTTCTGAGCGGCATATTTTCTGAGAACGTAGGGTTTGGGCTGAAGGTAAAATATGGCCTCACAGTCTCTTTGGCCACTCTCTGACATGTTTTAGAAGCAACGTAATCAGAGATAGGGGCAGGTCTGTGGAAGAATAAAAGATATGGGCTTTAGAGTTAATAAGACTTGGGTTTGAGTCCTGATGCCACTGCAAAACAAAATCTCTAGATCTCAACTTAGAACAAACACATACATTCAAATAATTTGGGAGATTAGAAGAGATGATGTATAAAATGCCTGCCATGGTGCAAGCTCCTAAATAGTAACTGCTATTATTGTAACCAGGAACCTGCATCTGAGTCTTCACAAATGGTCATCAGGGCCTATGAAAATGACAGGAAGCTGAAACTCTATAAACTGGAATTTATTTCCCTTCTTGCTTCCCCAGTTTTTAATCTATCAAATATGAACTCATTTCATCTGCCTTTACCTGCCCCTAGGGTTGACAGAAGGGGAAAAAAGAGAAAACAAATGAGCATGTGGTTTAGACAGTAATATTCATAAAATGAACTTAGAGTGGTACAATAATGATTATTTTTCTGGCTATCCTGATGAGGGATGAAGGTGGAAAGGGAGGAAGGCAGGGAGGGATGAGTCAGAACTAAGGGTCCATTCCATCTATGCAAACCAAGTGATAAGCAGCCCTGGATCTGCGAACACATGCTCACGTGCCTTGGGTGCCTATCTGAAAGGCCTTGGACAGGACAGCCTCCAGAAGGGAGAAGACAGCAGCACGTGTCCTCAATTTACTGACCCACACACACATAGAATCTTGTTATTAGTAATTTTCCAGGTGTTGTGGTACTGAGAAACGTGCCCAGGTAGCTGATGGTTCTCTTCCAGAATGGCCTAGCTATGGTCCTGAGGTCAAATGGGCCTTTTACAGACATGGAATTGGTTCCAGTTTGAGGCACAGCACTGACTGCCCTGTGGCAGCTGCATTAGGAACCTCCTACACCCTTCCTGTAGGACTCAACTCCAAATGTAAGGAATTCATTAGGGCTCCTTAAATCTTTGCTCTAACTGAGGAGACTATTAAAAAAGAACCCAATGATGTTAATGAATTTCTCTGGTAGTCATCTGGAGTGTGGCTGCTTGGCCTTTGGATCATCTCCTCCTGACTGGCAGGAGTCTCAAACAAATTCATGGCTGCTATTCTCCACTCAGCCTCACTGGTTGAATGGGCACGGAGATGGTAATACCACTCTTTCACCTTTGCCCCTAATCAATGTTTTGCCTCTAAATCAAGCAATGAAGTGTGGTGCCTTTATTCTTTCTTATGGAGATCTTCACCTTCTCAGAAGATAACCAATAGTTTCTGTCCAACCTATAGACTTTGTGGTTAAATAGAACTTGCCATTTAACTTTTAACACTAAAAGGACAATGTGGGTGTGATTAGACAATTGTGGCTGGGATCACTTAATCTGTTTAGTTTTCCTTCTCCAAAGGTCAGATGGTGTGAGCAGAGCACACCCAGAGTTAAGGAGGGATGAGAGTTAACTTCAATGGGTGCATGAGGGGAGCACCTTGGTTTTGAGCCTGTGGTAGCTCTACATGGGCCTCACAACCAAGTCTCCCCTAAAACTACAATAATTTATAATTGTAGGGAATGGCGAAAAAGGGCCAGAGAAAGTAGCCTTACAAGGAGGAGAATAAGAAGACTTTAGTAATCAGATGCTTAAGTTGCTGTGCTGGGTTTTTTAAATGGGGGTCTGAAACAGAAGAATAAAAGACCTCTTTCCTAGAAACGTTCCAGACCAGGAAGTAACAAACAAGCCTCTCATATGTCACAAATTTACCTTTTATCATTTACTGCTGCAGAGGGATTAACAGGCAAATATTATCTATTTGCTTCTTAGTATAGGAACTTCCTTTGGGGACAAAACCCTCACGACACCAATATGACAGATGAACCCAGCTTAGGTGAGACAAGGTCACAGAGGGATTGGAGAGAAGTAATGAAATATTGAGACTCCCGGGTTGTTGCTAGCCACTTCCCAACTTCTGCAGCTGCAGGAATCATGGGGGCATCAATCTGTCCTCCAGTTATGGCACTCCCTCATGCTCGAGTCCTTAAACAGTGCCGAAAGGGCAGTTCTCAAGTGCACATCTCCTCCCATGTTCGGGTATTGGGCTAAATCCTGTTTTGTGGCAGGAAGCCATAAAATGCCACATAAAGATCACCAGCCTCCTGGATCCTGATAAGCACTTGCTTGCTTAGCACACTTTAGTGTGGTGTGGGAAGAAGGGAGAGGAGGGCAAGACGTACAGAGGGGAGGAGGGCACAGAGGGTGCAGGATGGGACGTTAATCACTGATCCATAGGCTGAGAGATCATCTGGTCCAATCATCCTCATTTCACACATGCCCGAAACTAATGGACCCTTGAACAATGAGAATCTGGCCCATTTTGAAAAGCACCCAGAGATGTAGTGTCCACCCCTTTCCCTGGCCAAAGCTGAACAGCTCTCAGTCCACCTCGCTGAGGGGAAATATCTCTCACAATTAGCCCCACAGATGAGAGACTATTTGGACAAGTTTCTCAGTACTCACAGATGGCTACCTAGCTCTGCTAATCCCAAACTATTTATGGTTTTGGTCATCAGTCTTTCTAACCCAGAGACTGGGTGAGTTGTGAGTCCCCTTTTAGATTTCCATGGGGACTGACTCTGTAAACCCAAAGGTCATCAGTACTGACAAAGACAGTATAAGAGACGGCTCTGGTCTTCATGTACAGACACCCTAAAAACATCTCTAGTAAAGGTTTCCTTAATACTAGTCAGGTGCCCTGAAGCTCCCCATGGTATGTTCAGAACAAACCTTGGGTGGCCTGCTGAACACCCACCCTGTCCCCCACTCTTCTCTCTGACACAAGAGACATGCTGTGCAGCTACACCACCAAATTATATTACACTGGAGGGATTATCAGGAACAGGGGACCCTCTGTGGGGCTGAATACAAAACCCAGCTGCTGATTCATGATTGATGAGTCCTGGTTTCACCTGTCTCCACTACAGCTCTTCCCTGGTATATGACGAATGCTGACAGCAACCCCTCTTCCCAAGGTAGACTGTTCTCATTTCTGTCTAACATCTATGAAGGGAAATAGAATCAATATGCTAGAAAGAAGAAATTTCTTAGAGTTAGTGCAGTCTCAGCATGTCAATAGGGAATGAGTCTGGTTGCCAAGATATTTGTGGTTTTAAGGGAGTAGAAGATAATGATCGTTCCACTTCTGGTGTCCAAGACAATCTCTTGTACTGCTTGCCTCTCTACCCCTCAAACTCTAACTAATAGGAAGTGAGAGCAAAAGAAAACAGTTCAGATCAAAACTAAAAGTGTCTTGTTCCTTGTTCAAAGATAGACAGGAAAAGAATGAGAGGGAGCCAGGAGGTCAGTGGGAAACCTTCTTCTCCATCCTTTTAAAATGAAGAGGAAAAAGGTATTGCAGTCCTCAACAAGATGGTCGGTTTTTTTTTCTTCCCCTACTGCATGCCAATAAAACTCAGACCAGTAGTTCAAGCAGCAAACGGCACTGTTCAGATCAGCCCAGATAAGAAGTTAAAAGAAAAACTTTGTGGTTATTTTGTTTACATTTGGGAATCTCATCATCTGTAAAGCTAAAACCTCACAGTGGTGGCCACAGGTCAAGTGCAGTTAGCAGATCTTCTTTAAGACAATGGAAGCTGGCTGGAGGAAGGGGACAATTGGAAACTGAGGCTAGAAGAGCTGTGAGAAAAGGTGCAAGGTGCAAAGCAAGGGGGCTTTGAGGAAGAAAGGAACTGTGAAGAGGAAAAATGCCTTCTGGATAATGATGGAAATTAAGGAAGGCTTTAAGGTTTTAGTGAGGGTTACTAGAAGAGAATCAACTGAGAAGAGGGAAAAATCAATAGAAAGCAGATGCTAAGAGACAGCTGACCTTTCCATTGGAAATGGATGGCTACACATCTCATCACAGGCTGAGAAATGCACATATCCTAGAGCGGCAGTGGGAGAGATACCTTGGCCATC